TAAAAATAAATAAATAAAAATAAAAAATAAAACAAAAGATTTTTAGGGGGGTGCTAAGGTGATGGGTGAGCCTGATGGTGGGTAGTAAGGAGGGCACATATTGCATGGAGCACTAGTTGTGGTGCATAAACAATGAATTTTGGAACACTGAAAAAAAATTAAATTAAAAGCAAACAAATTAAAAAAAACAAAAGATTTTCATTATATACTGCGTTTATGAAAAGGGCTAGAGGAACACTCTAAAATCTTAGAAGTATCTCAACAGGTGAGATTATTTTCTTTCTTTTATCTGCATTTTCAAACTATCAAACTATTTCAAGTTGTACTGCTTATGTAATTTTATTAAATTATATTTTTAATAGACAAAAAGAAGAAGGAATTAGGAAGGCCAAAAACATTTGAGAAGCTTTTTATGGAGGGCTGCAAACATCACTAACATAAGATTCTGAAAGCACACCCGGTGTGCCTCAGCAGGGGACCGCGGGCTGGAAAACCAGGGCGCTAACGTAACTGACATACGGTAACTGACATCCGGCGTGCGGTCCAGGTACAAAGGTCCTGCATGTGTCTGTGACCTGCTGCGGGCTGGAAAGAGCAAACCTCACACGGTGCTGCCCATTTTGCCAGGGACAGCGTCCGGGACCAGAGCCTGGGTCTGGCCTCTGCCCCGTGTCCATGAAGACCAGCCTAGAAAGCGGGTCCTGGAAGCACCAGAGCAGACAAGGTCCAGGCACGGTGAGCCCAGCAAGTGAGCTGGGGGTGCCTTGTCGCCAGGCAAGGCAGGCCCCCGCCTCCTGGTCCCTGTTACTCGGGTGACCCTTGCTACCACGTATGTCGCCCCAAGGAAGCGGAGAGCAGCACCAGGGCTGACAGGCAGTGCTGTGCCCTCCCGAGGAGCTTCCCTGCGGGGAGATGGGGACACTGAAAATAGATTGGCAGATCGATAGATCCATCCCTATTGTTTATTACAGGATCGTCTACTTGCCCAAGAAACGTTGTCCAATACTTAAGTAAACATGTCAACAGATGAGGGAGAGGAAACACCTTAATTCCGAGAGGCTCTCATCAGGCCTGACTAGAGTTCTCTGAGGGGCAGGAACAAGAGGACTACGGCAGAACAAGCAGGCAGACTCTCCACAGAATCTAAATGTCAGAATTTCACAAAAAAACAATTTTAAAAAAACTGAATTCCATACAACTTGGGTGAATATATGTTGTGTGTGTGTGTGTGTGTGTGTGTGTGTGTGTGAGAGAGAGAGAGAGAGAGAGAGAGACTGTGATTGTCATCTATAGAGCACCATGAACAGTGGAGTTTTAAACCCACAGACCAGTAACTTCCTTAAGTTACCTAGAAGTTACCTAGCTCCCCCACCCATAAGGGGACCCAGCTGTATCCATACATGTGGTCCCAGGGACCAGCTGTTAAAAACACCACTATTGGGACACCTGGGTGGCTCACTCAGTTGAGCATCCGGTTCTTAATTTTGGCTAGGGTCTTGATCTCAGGGTTGTGGGATCAAGCCCCGCATTGGGCTGCCAGCGGGGCAAGAAGCGTGCTTGGGATTCTCTTTCTCCTTCTCCCTCTGACCCTCCGCTACCCTCTCAAAAAAACAAAACAAAGCAAAACAGAAACAAAAACCAGCACTACTGGGGTGCCTGGGTGGCTCAGTGGGTTAAGATATACGTATGTAACACATAATAAATACATACACATGTATGTGTTACATACACACATGCATACATACATACCATTACTGAACAAAGGGCCTGTGAAAAAAATTAATTTAAAAAGGAGGTCTCGTGTCCAAAAGGCTTTGGGAACCAATGATGTGGCAGAGTACTAGGCTGTGAGCTTCCTGAGGGATGACCACTGCGTTCTCCATCTATAACTATACCATCAAGCAGTAAAGTGAAACCTTCAAGACTGCAAACGGTCTTGAAACTGTTGCAGAAGTCAAAATGCGAAATTAAAACACAGTGAGTTCTCAGGAGGCTGCACGAGTGGGTGAAAGTATGGTAAAGGGGCATCAGTGAAGCCAAAGTGAAGGGATGTTTAGGGAAAAGTAATCCTAATGACACTTTTAGAATTACGGGTTCTCAGCGACGCTGTTCAATAAAGAGGCTTGGCCACCGTTGCAGCCAATGTTGCATGTTTCATCCCAAAAAGCCCATGATCAGAAAGAATACTGGAAACGAAACACAACCTGTGATCCTGCCCTTACTCAAAACCACCAGGGTCCACAGACAGGTGGGCTGCTCAGTGCCGGTTCTATGCACCTTAAGAAAGACACAGCAGTGAAGGAAGAGGTCCTAAGAGATAAGCCTGAAGTTATAAAGTAGACGGGAGAGCTTTCTAATAAGAGCTTAAAAATTAGAACTCTTCTATTCTGGAGAGATGAAGGTTTAGGGGAGAGGGAGAGGATAACTGACACGTACATGTGTTCATCACACCTCACACCTAAAATAGTAGAGAGGAAAGGGAAGCATTCTGAAGTCGGAAATAAAAGATGTACACAAATAAGACATAACTTTACTCGTTCATCGGAAAATACACTGAACAGGCATCTGTGGTGGGAGGTGATTCGGTGAAGCCTCTGCCTTCGGCTCAGGTCATGATCTGGGGGTCCTGGGATTGAGCTGACATCCTGGATCCCTGCTCAGAGAGGAGCCTGCTTCTCCCCCACCCTCCACCCCCTTCCCTGCTCGTGCTCTTTCTCTTTCTCTCTCAAATAAAATCTTAAAAAAAAAAAAAGAAAAGAAAAGAAAATACACTGAAGTTGTTATAGGCAAAATATATAAATGTAGTAACATGCACACTTATTTGAATCCAGAAATTAAAAAAAAAAAAAAAAAGGCCCTGAGCAACTAAGAACAAGAATTGTCACTAAACCTATGAGCTTCCTTTCCCTCAGCATTGAAGCCTTTGAGTTTCAAATAACATTAAACTTGGTCATCTGTTTCCCTTAACAATATTAAGTTTGGTAATGGTAGATTAATAAAAGTTCAGAAACAGGACATCATGGGGGCAGAGGCACTCTGAAAACATTAAGAAAAATCTGATCTCTATTCAGTATTTGTTTAATAAGACAAAGAAGCAAACAACATGTGACATATTTATACAATGAAAGTTAAAGGCAACAAGATTCAAGGAACATTGGACTGGAAACCACAAAACTGACTCTCCTCGAATTTGCCATTGCTTGCTGGGTAAGGACTAGCACGATGGGTGTGTGTATATTTATAACCTGTGAGTAAACTCTTTACCCTGCTCCCTCACGTGACTGAATACGGCTCACGTGTTGATATAATCTGTTCACTCAACGATACATGTTCAATTATTGTTATAAAAGTTAAGGGTTTACAAAGGGCTTAAGTGGAAGTTCTCCTCCGCTTTCTCTTTCAGAAGGAGCAGTCCAGGGAAAACACAGCAAAGAGTAAGTCAAGCTGTCTGATGCACAAAGCCAGTGAGTGAAATCTCACGCTCACTTAGCAGAAGCTGAGAGTGGAAGCAAATGCCTGAGCTGGTGGCCAGCTGGGGCAAACTTCTGTCCCAGGAGTGGAAGCTAGGCAAGGGGAAAGACAGAACAAGGGAGCCAGCGTGAGAGCGAGCTGCTGTCGCCCGTCCTCGAAGGAGCTTTAGCTGGACTCTGGCTGAACAATGGTGAGAGAAAGGCATCGAGCTCATGGGTGGTAGAGAAGGGAGCTCCGTGAAATCAAATGACAGGGAAAAGACCCAGAACGAAGCCCCAGGCCAGTAACGGGAGAGCAAAAAGAGTAAGAAACGGTGAAGCCCCAGAACGGCTTTGCCCTGACGCTGTCAGCAATTACCTATGAGAAGCTCGTGGGCAGGCTTCGGTTTATCAAGAAAATTAAACTAACTTGAAGGATCTCTGAGCCCTTGAACAGGCCAGGCTACAATGGCTGGGCAAATTAACCTAAAACTATGAATTTCTACGTAAAATTTAACTCCTGAAGTGGACAAGCAGACCCTCTTCCATACACCTGGCCCTGCCCCCCTGAGTACACACCGAAGGCCTGCCTGTGCGTCTCAGGGGCCCCAGGTATGGGCGCTCTGAGTCGGTCAGCAGCCGGTGCTTCATTTCACGAGGCATCTGGTACTCTAATCATCAGCAAAGGGCAGCCCAAAGAGACACTCAGGAGTACAAGAAAGCAAGTGCCCCGTTCGACGATGGACCCGGCAAAACAGCAAAGCTTTTCGCTTGTCTTCTCCTCCATCTGGTCTTAGCCCCCTCCAACGCACACTCTGCCACGGTGGTTACGGTAACACATGCGTCTGATCACAGAGACGTCCTCCTCAAGATGCCCGTCCCCTCCGGGACACAGCTCCACGTCTCCAGCCAGCGTGGAGAGTCCGTTCCCATCTGGTCTCTGCCCACCTCCCCAGTGACTTCCCAGGGTGCCTTTCATTCACGGGCAGTTCTCACAGACTGCCTCTGTGTCAGGGCCTGGGCTGTTCCTCCTGACTCCAGAACACCCGACACCCCACCCCACCGGCCCCCAACACAGACCTGCCTGAGAACGCCTCCTCTGCCCTAAGCTTCCGCTCCAGGGCCCCCTTCTCCACATGCCTTCTCTGAATGCCGAGACACCAGTCCCCTGCCCTCCTCCTCCTCCCCTGCCTTCTGCTGTAGCAGCAATTCCCACAGCGAGATGGGATCCTGAGTTTTCTCATCAGCCTATAAAGCCTCTCCAAAGTTGGGGTCCCGTCCTTTACCTCTATTTCTGAGACCTAACACATGTGGTTCCCAGGGGCAAGTAAGCTGCCACTACTCACAGACCCCTCTCCAGGGGTCCCTCCCAGGACCATTCTTCAATGCCTCCCCAAACCCCAGCTGGCACACCTGCCCGTTTGTCCTGCCCAAGGTACACTCTGCCCCCAGAGACAGCTTCTCCTCTCCCCTTCCAGGCCCTTCCACCCCAAGCAAAAATCCCACTTCCCAGGAAGAAAATTATATTGCAAACATTCTAACAAGACTCACAGGATGTTAGAGCTGAAGGGGACCTCAGAAAGGATCTGGTCCAGTGGCTTCCAAATCCACGTCTGCAGACTGCTCCTGGACTGACTGCAAAAGAACAACACGGGGGGTGACTTTCAAACACGGAACCCCAAGCTCCTACTCGGGAATCGAGATTTGACCAGTCTGGGATGGATCCCTGCATTTTTTTTTAGAGCCTCCCCGGCGATTCCGGTACACTGGCCTAGTCCACCCTCTTCATTTTACACCGGGAGAACTTGGGCTTGGAAAGGAGAGGGTCGGGGCACCTGGCTCAGTTGGTGGAGCGTGTGACTCTTGATCTCAGCATTGTGAGTTCGAGCCCACGTTCGGTGTAGGGATTACTTAAAAATAAAATTTTAGGAAAAAAATATTGAGGGAAGGAAGAAAGAGAAGGAGAGAGGGAGGGAGGAGGATAGGTAGGTGGGTGCTGAGCTCATCTATCTTGGCAGCTTCACCATATGCCAAGACACGCCTGGCACTGAGGACACGAAGGGAAGGCCCAGCCCCTGCTCCCGAGGGCCCCGCACACGACCCACTGCAAACACTCAGCAGCCACACACTGGGGGTGCCACAAAAGGCTCATCAGGGCACTGGCTTCCAGGAAAGGAAGGGAGAGGGACTCTCTCTGGCTGTGGTCCCCTCGGTGGACTCCTTTGTGCTCCCTTTTGATTCCCTTACTCCTCTCATGGCATAATTTTGACTTTTGCTACAGTAACTTCAGTAAAATATTCTCTCTTCTGCTACTTCATAAGCCCTACTATAGGTACCCCCTATTTCTGAGCTGGTATCCCCTCAATTCTACATTCGGGTTTCTACACGGACAGGCAGCTCAAACGTAGTCCATCCGAGCCTAACTCTCAATTTCCCCCTACGGCAGGTGACCACTCTGTCCTTCCAGTCACTTAGGCCAGATCCAGCCTCCTCAGGCGCTCTCTTGCCTTCATACCCTGATTCCAGTCCAAGAGCAAATCCTGTCAAGTGCTCCTCCAAAACTCCTCCGAATGCAACCATTTCCTACTGCCTCCAACCAGCATCATCTCTCTCCCGCAAAAGCCTGCCCTCCTTGCCTTTACGGCTCACTCTCAACACGGCAGCCAGAGCGCGGCTCCTAACACACCCAGATCACACTCCTCCTCTCCTAGAATGCTGGCCCGTCTCCCGCAGGGTGAACTCCAGCCTTCGTGCAGGGCGGCCTCCGCGGCCTCCATCTCCCACGCCTCTCTCTGTCACCCAAGCGGCTCCGGGCAGGCACAGGCCTCCACCTTGTTCCTCAAGCATGGCCCTGCTCAGAGCCTTTGGGGCTACTGTTCCCTCTGCTCAGAACGTCCTTCCCCTCAGATCTCCAGGGCCTCCCTCATCATGGCCACCAGATCTTTACTCAATTGTCCCTCCATCGGGAGCCTTCCATGACCGGTGTACGTGCCATTCCCCACGCTTGCCATCGGTCCCAGTCCTTTCCCGGCCTTCTCTTTGAAGCCCTTCCTGCCCCCTGACGTGTTCTATAACTGCTCGTCTCCACTGTCTCTGTGTAAGCTCCGCTGTGTTTACAGAAAGGTATTCCACTACTAGAAAGGAGGAATGAGTTGACAGGCTCACCTGCCCGGAACTAAGACTGCTCAAGGGTAGTCACAGGTTCCCACACAGGTTTATTCATAGTCAAGCAGGTGGCAAGTTTGCAGCATAATTTGTGTTTCACTTTTTATAAGCACAGAGACCCTGAGTGGTGATGGGGGTTTGCCAGTGGGAAGGGGTCTCCCCAAAGTAGCACTTGTCTGTGTGTCCTGGGCTCCTGCAGGGCTAAGTTCAATACTGAACCTCTGGAAAGGGACCACTGGCCAACGTCCCTATGATAAGCTCATCCGCCTTGCAGATGGGATCCGTGCTGACGCTAGCAGAGAGGACAGGCTCCCCCCGAGACCAAGAGGGAAGGGCAGGGCACAGGGCAGTCTTCAGTCTTAAGAAAAGGGGACAGGACTCTGAATATGCTACAAACCACCGAATTGTGTGCTTAAATGGGTGAATTGCATGGCATACGAATTTTATCTCAATAACGCTGTTATTTTTAAAGATAAAAAGAAGAGGGGATAAAAGAGGAGGGAGTTGGGGTTAAGTAGCACAGGTCAGCTGACTGAGATGATACACACGGAAACCAGTTATAGGCAACAAAGTTTAAACAGAGCTGAGAACCGAGACAAAAACTGATACTCTGTAACCCTCACCCCCTTTCCCTTTCCTTGCTTAGAAACAGATCTTAGCACTCAAGTGGGCACTGCATTTTGTCAGAAAGGGACAGAACCCAGAGACTAAGAGGAAAGGAGAGGACTCCTCTTTGTCCACAGAGCACCCTCCGGGAGTCCCTCCTGCAGAGTTTTGTAAAAGCATCATCTCCTGGTAGTAGGGACACCCAAACAGAAGCAAAAACCTGTAGCCTCATACCTGCTGGGAACCAAGCGCCCACTCCCTGAACAAAAGGGCCCCAGGAAAAAAAAGTAGCCATTCTACAGGATTACTTTTTCCTCATCTCCGGTACCCATGTGTTTAGTGGCTCTGTGTGTGTCACCGGTCTCATCTACCATGGGCAAACTACAGTCCCAAAGATTCCAAAATCAAACGGTTTTCTGGAGGCGAGGGGTTGTGGGGAGAGGACAGGGAGAAGGAACATGCTAATATTCTTAGGGTATGCTGTGGTTCCCCTCCATCACTCTCTTTCTCACACACACACGTTCTTCCTCATCCCTTCTTCCTCCCTCTTCTCTCTCCCCTCTCAACGGAGACTGGGTGGGCTCTTTCACCACAGCGCCTCAGACCTAAGGGCAACCAGCCTTCTTTAGGAAAGCAAGCGTCTCACCAACCACAGGGCAGGGCAACAGATGTAACATCCAGGTGTTCGCATGTGTGCCCAAGGGAAGGACAGGGAATAAGGGACCTAAAGAAACACGCCTATGTGCCCTTCTACCATCAGACAAATGGAATATTAAAATTCCTTCTCTTTTTCAGACATAAAGTGAAATATCTACAGATAAAATGATATTGAGGTGACTGGGTAGCCCAGTTGGTTTTACGCCCCGACTCCTGGTTTTGGCTCAGGTTATGATCCCAGGGTGATGGGATCGAGTCCGGTGCTGGGCTCCACGTCAGCCTGGCGTCTGCTTGAGATTCTCTCCCTCTGTCCCTCTCCCACTTGCACTCACTCTCCCTTTCTCAAATTAATAGTCTTTAAAAATAAATAATAAAATGATGTGATGTCTGGTATTTGCCTCAAAATGACACAGAGCAGAAGGAAGAGATCAAGGAGGGTGTTCCTAAACGAAACAAGATTAGCCACAAGTTAATAACTATTGGATGTGGGGGAGGCGTACACGGAGGTCTAGCCCATCATTTTCTCTACATGTGTGTATTTCCGCTCTCTTAGGACCAGATCCTTGGATAGTGGACTCTGTGAGTCCAACCAGATAACCACCAAGGTCACACCCATTAGGATAGCTATTATAAAACGCAACCACCCAAATTCCAGAAAATAACAAGTGCTGGTGAAGACATGGAGAAATCAGAATCCTGGGCTGCTGGTAGGAACATAACCTGGTGCAGCCACTAAGGAAAACAGTACAGCAATTCCTAGTGAAAAATAAACCCAGAGCCACCGTCTGATCTAGCAACTCCACTTCTGGGGACATACCCAAAAGAACTGAAAGCAGGGTCTCAAAGAGTACTTCCTACACACGTGTTCATAGCAGCGTTATACACAACACCCAAAAGATGAAAGCAACACAGTGTCCATCAACAGATGAATGAGTAAACAAAATGTGATATAAATAAACAACAGAATATTATTTGGCCTCAAAAAGACACAAAGGTCCAAGACACACTACAGCATGGATGAGCCTCGAGGACATCCCTGAGTGAAATCTGCCACGTGGAAAAGGACAAATACTTATGATCCCACCTAGGAATCCAGGTTCCTGGGGCGGTCAAGTGCATAGAGACAGAAAGCATAACAGTGGTTACCAGGGGCTAAGGGGGAGAAAGGACAGGGAGCTAGTGTTTGATGGGTATAGAGTTTTAGTCTGGGGTGATGAAAAGATCCTGGATGGCGGTAATGGTTGTACAACAGTGCATGTACTTAACACCACTCAACAGTACCTTAAAAATGGTTAATGGTCAATTTTGTTATGTATGTTTTGCCACAATTTAAAAAAAAAAAAAAGGCACCAAGGAACATAAAGACATCACTTGTGTCTCTTCAAGGCCAGCTCAGGTCAGCCTAGACATCATACCTCAGAGAGGTTCTCAAAACAAGGGCGTGGTGAGCGTTGCTGGGGATGGAGAGCTATGGAGAAAGGAATAACATCTACCTAGGCACATGGTCTAGTTTCCAACCACCACCTAAGGAAAGAAGAAAAATAAAACATTTTTAAATAGGCCTGAAGGTAAATGTCTATGTAAGTTAAGGTAATAATCCCAGAAATAAAAGTGTATGTCGGACCCTGAGAAAATCTCCAAACATAAATTCAAAGCCCCAGATTCAAGGCCGCGTCTCCCCCTCCCCGTCACGGTGTGGTGGTTCAGGGCACAGGCTCCGCGGCTTCGAGTCCAGCTCCGGGACTCGCAGGCCATTCAACCTTGTGGCAGTTTCTTCACCTCCGTGTCATTTTCCCCGTCTGTAAAATGGGGCTGTTGTAGGGATTCAACGAGTTAATGTTTGTGAAGTTCTTACAACACTGCCTTTCACATAGCACACACACATGTTCAGCATTATGCCACCAACCTCAGGGGCCAGCAGGCTTTACCTCCTAGTTTTCCAGAGTGCCCCAGCAGACTGCCGGATGCCTAAATGTCAGGCTGGTCAGAAGCGTGCACAGGGGGAAGGCAAGGTTACCCCTCTCCACACAGCTCTCAGGAGGCCGGCTGAAGCGGAGGAAGCAGAGGGCCAGGCAAGCTGGGGAACGTCACAGGAGGGGGGACAGGAAATGGACAAACACTGAACCAGGGGATAAGAATGAGAGAAGATACAGAAAAGCTGGCAGAGCCGTTTTTTAAAACTAGGTGATCTTCACCGTAGTTGAGCA